AACTTGAAAATTTGATAGTCTTGACCCCCTAAATGTTTATATGGCAAAGAGCGTGAGTACACGAATCGAAAATTAACTTCCAAGTGGGGTATTTTTCAAATATTAATTGTCACATAATCAAATAAAATAATTTATTTATTCCAATTATATTTCTCGTTGTTTCTTCTTAATATAAATTACATATTTTATCCCAATTATATTTTTTTAGATATAATGAATATAAGTTTTTTTTTAGCAAATATTGCCTAGTGGCTAATATATATATATATGAATTCAATGTTTACAATTTGTCCAAAACCAAATCTAAAGTATATGAAGCTACAACTTGCTACACTATGTAATCTAATTATTACAACAGATAGAATAGCCAAATCCCAACATAAGGTGTCGAGTGTATTCGGGGCGGCTCAATAAGTTAGGTGGCCTAAAGCCAAACTTTAATATGAGGTACTTTTAAAAAATCATATATATTTTTAATTAAAATATATTTTTCTAGCTTTTTGAGAATAAAATTACTTAAAAATTTTCGCATAAACTATTTAATGTCTCATGTGCAGTATGATCATAAGTAATAGAACATAATTCAAGAAGTTGATAACTTTATATTAAAAGAATTTTTTAATGTTTCAATATACTTGTTGCAATGATTAAAACTTGAGGAAAAAAATAGAGCTTAAAAGTGTATTACATATTTTCTAATGATTAATGTAATCCTTTTTTTTAATATAAAATATTTTACTTTTCTACTTTGAAATACTTAATATTTTCTTAAAAAGATTTGGGGCCTCACGAGAAGAGTTGTGGTGGGATGGATGGCATATCTCCTTCTTTAATCAAGAGTATTCGGTTTTAGTATTTGGAAAGAAAAAAAAATCCCTTGTAAGGAACAATTCCACGTTAATGGACTTTACACGGTACGAATTTGAATTAATCAATGCCCAAATTAAATATCGGACATCAAATAAAAATTGGGGCCCCCAAAATTCTGGGACCTAAAAACCACCCCTTTAGTGGCTTTACCCTGTGGCCGCCCTTGAGTGTATCTACAAGCTTTCAACCAAAAAAAAAAAGTATCTACAAGCTTAGCGCAAAATCCTATGTCGCACCTCCAAAGCTCTCACCGGGCGCCAAGTTTTGCATTTCAAAGGACAAGGCAAATGAGAATCTCCATGCAATACCAACAACTTCTGGGAATGACCAAGTAACCCAACAATATGCAAATGCTATACGTATGAGTATAACCATCCAACCTGTGCTTTAATAATATATAACATGATATGCCTCTCTTCCTTATATCAATGACAGGCTGCAGATTTGACCCAGAAACACGCATGAGATGATCCATGAGCTTCCTGTAGGATCCTGTATATAGGCAACATTCCTGCACTGAGAACAACCAATATGCACTGCAACAACATCTCCAGATTGGGCATGTTAACACACCAATACCACTGAACAATGTCATTACAATGCACCTATTGACAATAGCAGACCACACCATATGAAGAACCATTGGATTCCAGCTTAAGTACACACACTTCCAGTATAACATACTTAGGATATATAATGACCTAAAGCTAGACCTTAAAGCTTGATGAGCTCTTTTGTGAGGAGCAATACACTGGCTCATTGTGTTAATGTTTCCATATACCTTAAGAGCACTACCAGAATGAGCATGATAGCATGCTAACACCAGAATGAGCATTAATATAAGTTTCAGCTATGATTTCTTATCTCTCTTTTTTTCCGGTCCAAATCTATAAATTTAGTTGAATCTCCATTTATTTTAGCCAAAGAAAAAAAAAAGATCTAGCAAAAGTAATGAAGTTCAAATGGTGTATTTTCTACAACTAAGAAATATTGTGTATTTTTATTTTTATGCAATAACTATTTATTTAAACTATGCATTTTTCTTTTTTCGAGTGAAATTCGTAAATATTTGGTCGCTATTTTTAGCTAAAATATTTATTAGCCAATATATGAAGTTCCAACAACATATATTTTTTTTAGATGCAAATGATAATATTTCGAATTGTATATTTCTTTTCTTTTTTTCTGATCAAATATGTAAAAGTAACTTGATTAAAATATTTTTATCTTTTTTGTCAAATAAAAAAATTATAGTCAAAATAACGTTGTTTCAAATTGTTATTCTTTTTACATATTTTGGCACAAAAAATGGTTTAAATAGTGGTAAACTTAAAAAGATAAAAATATATATTTTATTATAAAAAAATCACATGGATAAAAAAATTTATGCGGCAGCGCATTGTCACATTCCCATGGATTGTCAGCGTCCAGGGGGCCGAGGTTATGAAATTGCAAAGTTCAAGGGGGGTCCCGAACTATTCTTTCAGTTTTCAATAAATATCTTAACAATTTAAACAATTTATATACAATCCCCTTAAAAGGATCTCACCTAAGGGTATCTAACGGGCCGGGTCAACCCGTTTCCGGACCGGTCCAGATCGGTTGAAACCTGAGCCGGTCCGGACCGGTACAAAGGGGGACGGGTGGGCTGGGTTAATGGGGTAAGGGAGTTGGTCCATTTACCTTGGGGCAACCGGTTAACCGGCCCGGTCAAACCCGGTCAACGGGATTTACTGTAGAACCGGTTTACCCGCCTGGACCGGCCCGGCCCAGACCGGTATAACGACTACTTTCATTTTTTATTTTTTTTAATGGGGCCTGACTTTTTCTGACCGTTGGCAACGGTCTTCTGGCCCTTGGGGCCGTTGCCCAACGACAGATTTGCACAAATAGCCCATTTTTGGGCCTTTTTTTTTAAATTAACACCTTTTGTAATTACCTAATTAGCCCTTTGAAAA